TTTCTCTCATTGTCCAGAAGCACTATCACAGGAAGAGCAAGAAGGCTGTGCAAATGAGGACATCCAAGAAAAAAGAGGAGGTACGGGAGGGATCCCATGGTCACCCCTGGTTCATTGCAACCCCTCCCAGACGGTGGGGGAGCCCTCGGCCACCAGCACGTGCCCTTCCCTAGGCCCCCAATGCCAGGGCTGCGGCGGACCCTCCCAGAAACGACCCTCTCTTCCCTGTCAGAGAAGGGGACCAGCCCGCCCGACTACCGCCACTATCTGCGGATGTGGGCCAAGGAGAAGGAGGCTCAGAAGGAGACGATTAAGGATCTGCCTAAAATGAACCAGGTAGGCCGGGCCAGAGCCGGCGGGGACACCCCGGGGCCTCGGGGGCCGGGAGGGGACGGCGCCCCGCGAGCCTCCGCCCGTCCGCCTGCCCTCCGCCCAGGAGCAGTTCATCGAGCTGTGCAAGACCCTGTACAACATGTTCAGCGAGGACCCCGCCGAGCAGGAGCTGTACCACGCCATCGCCACGGTGGCCAGCCTCCTGCTCCGCATCGGCGAGGTGGGCAAGAGGTTCTCGGGCCCGGCCGGCCGGAAGCCCCCCCGGGAGGGGCCCCGCGGCCAGGGCCTGGCGGGTGCCGGTGCCGGTGCCGCCGCGGAGGACGACGAGGAGCCGCCGCCGCCGCCGCCGCCGCCGCCGCCCGGGCCCCAGCCGGACTCCACGCCCGAGCGGCAGCCGCCCGCCGCGGGGGACCCCCAGGCCAAGGCCGGCGGGGACACCCACGGGGGCAAAGTGGCCCAGGAGAGCCAGCCGCTGGCCGAGCGGGGCCGGGGCGAGGGCCAGGGCTCGCCGTCCCAGCTCCCGTCCGACGACGAAGCCAAAGACGACCTGTCCATGTCTTCCTACTCGGTGGTCAGCGCGGGCTCCCTGCAGTGCGAGGACCTGGCGGACGAGGACGCGGGGCCGCCGGGCGGGGAGGCCCGCAGCCCCGCCGCCGCCGCCGCGCCCCGCCCGCGCCCCGGGGGCGCCGTGGACGCCGACTGGTGCATCTCCTTCGAGCATTTCTGGTGTTTCGTGCTGACGGAGGCGGCGCTGGTCACCTTCTTT